ATAATTAAATTTCAAAAATAACTTTTTGGAAATACATCTTATGGTACCAAATCCAAAATAACAACAAAAGGGATACAGTGAGAAGTCTCCCTCCTGTCCCCAGAGTTTCCCACCCCTCCAGGGAACCAAAGTTTCTAAGTGAATTTAAACAAATTAAGGAACAAAGAAATCCAGATAATTTTGGAAGTATATGCTCTTCCCCTCATTATTCTTTTGTTCAGTGTTCATCCCTCATTTCTGGCTTCTCTGCTCCTCAGGGGCTAAAAGAGGCTGTCACTGCTCTCTGCTTAGACAACAGTCCCAGCCTCAGCTCCAGGCTGATTTTCAGCTTTTAAAAGGCCTGGTCACCTTCAGCTCAGAAACCTTGAGCTCAGAAACTACAGGGTGGAGATTTACAAAAGACTATAGATCTACATAACAGTCTGAATGTACACGATTACTTATCATTATGCTTGTTTTTAAAAAACATACTGTGTGTATATTTTACACAAACACATTAGGAAATACTTTCATTGACTTGAGTGTAAAGTTCTCTTTAACATTCAAAAGAAGATACTTTGTTTTTTTTGTCTTTTTTCCCCCTAATTCAAATAGCAAATTTTTCTTATTATTGTCCCAGCAGAGGGTATGTTCTTTGGGGTGGTGATGGAAGGCAGAGATAAAGAGAAAGAAAGCCAAGCTCTTTAAGGGAGAGAAAAAAAAGGAAAAAAAAAGAAACCGTCTGGGAATCTCAAGAACATCTTTATTTCGCCTTTTAACTCTCCGCCTTTCTGATTAAAGAGTTCAGACCCGCTCCCCCTCCCACGTTCAATTATCCTCCAGCATCTTTTCTCAGAAGCTGTCACCACCACTTGCTGAACCGCAGTCCCATCGTGAGCCATTAGCCTGGTTCTGTTCCGTTTCGCTTTTCTTTCCTCAGTTTCTCCCCGCAAGCTTTATAAATCTCCCTTGGAGGAGGAGCGTCCAAGCGGGTGGAAGTCTGAACACAATGCAACCTGAGAATTTCTGTCACTCTCTGCATATGCTCCTAAGTGCTTTAATCCCAATTAGGGGCGGCTGACACACGGTCCTATTCATTCCCATCAGCTCTTGAATACATTTGCCTAGAAATGAACTTCTCAAATAGAGGCGCTCCTAAATGTGCCCAACAGCAAGGAAAATCGAATTGAGCGCGGGCTCATTCGGCAGCGGCCGGCAGAGGAGCGTTGAATGTGGAGGTGCCCCGAGACATTGCAATTCAGCAACACGCTCGCTGACTTTTCTTTACACCATGTCAACCGAAAGAACCAAGAAATAAGTTGGGGAACTCCGGTTAAAAGGCAACTTGAGAGGGACTCTGAATACTTTTATTGAGCCGCTTCCAAAGAAGGACTTAAAAAACAACAAAAAAGCACCACAAAACCCACCAGCGGCGCCCGGGCTGCGTCTCGGCCGTGCGTTTGGAGCCTCCCGGCCGCGGCGCACCCACCGGCCTCGCAATTAAGGGGAAAATGGCCCCGTCGCCGGCGTGTCATCTGGTGGCGTTCCCAGAGCCCGCCGCCGCCGCCCTATTCAGACCCGGCCTTAATGTCCCACCCGCGCCTCGGGGGCCGCGCAGCTGGTCCGCGCTGACCCTCCGGCCCGGCCGGCGCGGACACCCTTGGGGGCGCGGCCCGCGCCACCACAAGCCCCAATTCCGCCGCCGAGTCTCCAGGTCTCTGTCTCCCCCGCGTCCTCGCCTGCAGTCCCTGATCCCGCGCCGCTCCCTCCATGCCGGGGTTGGGGACTCTGCGCGTCGGCCAGGGTGGGCGGGATTGGTGACACCCCCGACACCCAGGGGGCAGCCAACTCGGCCCCCCTGGGGACTGGAAGCCCAAGGGCTTTGCGCCCCACGGACCGGCAGCTCTCGGTGTTCCGAAAGGTGCCGCTAATCTCAGCCCCGAAGTCCAGTGGAGGCTCTTTTCCTCTAGGCGGAGCCCCGCCAGCTCACACGTGCTCGGCGCCGGCAGCATTTCCAGCCCGGTGCGCGGAAGCAACAAGGCGCAGGCGGGGGCCGCCCCCCAACGCAGCCCCGGCTGAAAGCAGCGCCGGGTGGGACTTCGCTCCAGGCAGCCGGCCCCTCCGGCGGGCTGCGGCTCTCGAGCATCCCTGCCTCATTAGGGGCAACCTGTTTCCGCGGCCGGAGTCGTGCCTGCGTGGTTCCACGATGGGCAGCGAGCAGGGCCGCCCCCAAAACCGTCTCGCCCCGCACCTCGGTGCAGAAGGGATTTCGCCTTAACGGGGGCCTCTGGACGCCCATTTTAAGTCCATAAAAAAGCCGAGTGGAATGTTTTGATTGAATCTCAACATTGTCTTTGAATAAGGCTGAGACCATGTAATTAATGTGTCTTTTTAATAAGGGACAATACGGCCGTTCAAGCTATTTAATTTCATTTAATTTTCCATCCCATTTGCTGCACAGCCCGCTTTTACTTTTAACACCCAGCCTTTCACGGCCCATCTTGCTCCACTGGGCACATTAGATTGGTTTCACCCTTGCTTTTTAGGGGAGGAAAAATAAAAGAAAATGTGTTCCTTTCCTCCTTTGTGGACAATTTATTTCACTTGGGGAACTTCAACTCTGAGCCACAGGACAGAATAAAACTGGGTGAGCTGGTGTGAATGCCTCTGGCGCAGTCCCTTTCTTCTCGCGGGGCTGGGAACCAGCCACAATTGGCTATATTAATAAATAACTTTCCTCACAGTCAGCCTTTACATGGTCCTATTGATAAAATTGTTCGCGTGTCGTTCACGCTTTTTCACTCATTAAGGATGGCCGGGGAGGAGCCCCGAACCCAGGCCCCGCGCTCGCTCCTTCCCGCTCGCACTGCTGGTAATTTAAACTGGGTGTCATCCCGGAGTCGCCAGGCCAGAGGTTAGAGGGACATGTTCATGGCTTAAATTTATTGCTCTCGACTCTTCGGAGCGGCTTCCTCTCCTCCCCCCCCCCCCCCGCTTTCGCAATTCAGGGGCCGCCGGATCAAAGGCTCCCTCCTCTCTGTCGCAGGCAACCTTAGCGGCCCACAGAGGGGCAGTTGGAGAGTTAAGAGGAAATATCAGTGCCAGCTTCCTCGAAAAGTGGCCCTGGGCATAGCGTGGCTGCATGGTTAGAGAGGCCACAGCGTGCGGCAGCCCTCAACCGCAGAGCGGCTCTCTTCTCCGCCGGAGCAGCCGCGTCTACACAGGCCTTGGAGTTAGCACCGAGGCAGGCTATTCATGTGTCACAGCACCGTCTGATTTGAGATGCTTAGCCATGAGACCCTTGACCTGGCCTAGATTCCCCCACTGCGCAAACCACGCGTTCTGGAGCGCCCAAAACGCACTCACTCTACAGATCATTGCTATTGACCTTCGCAACAAACTCGAGTGAACCGCGGAGTGGAGGCCAAAGGTCAGTTTACATCACCATTTCCATTTACGGATTAGGGGACTGAGGATCTGAAGTAATTCACTAAAGGTTCCCCTAGTCTTGAGTGACAGCACAGACTGAATGACCCCACGTCTCCTGACTGTGTCCAGTATGGCGAACGCAGGTTTCCATCCATCGAGGGTTGCCACACGGCGCTTCTTTGAGGGCCTCGTCGGACAAATTGCCAAGTTACAGGCGTCGCCACCTTGCGTCCTGCCGCCAGTGTTAATCAGAGTCACCCTGCCAGTGGCCTAAGAATTGCACCTTCCGCCAGCGGAGCAGGGTGGAGAATTCGAGATGGTGGCTCCTGGGAGTCCTCCGCCCATTTGTACAGAGGTTGGGCCTCCGACACCAGGCCGGAGACCCGGAGTCACTCAGGCCTCTTCCGGAACACCTTGTGGGGCTCGCGAGCTGGTCCATAGGATTTAGGGAGCGGCGCCAGGGATGAGCCGCACATGGCAGGTGCGGGCGGAACTGTCACAAATACCTGATGAACTCGATTACTCGGCTATCTTATGAAAATAAATGTGCCCACACAAATCGGAGGCTTCCCTAAAGGAAGACGAGGAGCACTCTGGTTTAACTCCAAAGTACCAGTTCCCCTAGTTCATGAACTGGGTTAAAGGCAGGGGTTGCCAACGCCCACCTAGCCTTCTTTTCCACCACCTTAGACAGAGTGCTTTTTTTTTTTTTTAATGTCTGGCTTGCTGAGTCCTGGGGACGTTAGCTCCAAGGACTTCTTCTTCGTTTTAAACTTGAAAGCAAATCAGGGCTTGAGTCGGTCGGTTGGCATGCGGAGGAGACATGATTTAAAACACAGCCGGCAGAACCCCTCTTCAACCCTCGGGTGCAGCCAGGGCACGGGATCGCCCGCAAAACCACGGCTCTGTGGCCGCTTCCAGTTCTCCAGAGAAAGTGCGGGCCCGGGGTGCACCCGGGAGTAGAGATGCATAGCTGACCTCGTCTCCCCAAATTGGTCCGGACACTTCATATTTTGGGGCGAAATTGGACAGAGGGAACGATAAAGCGGTTCTAAATAGAGGACTGGCCTGAACCCAATCCCCTGAAATGGTAATATGGTCGTTATTTAAAAAGTGTAGGTATTTTCTGGTGTTTTCCCATCAAGTACCTGCCTAATTTCTGTATGGCACACGCCAGAAATCAATAGAAGTTAACAAGTCCTCCAAACAGTCCCCATCTCTTTGTTTAATCTCCTTTACAATAAAGCCAAGGGGAGAGAATTAAAAATCTTTGAAGTAGACCAAGGCTCAAAGGAATCAGCCAAGTAGACTTAAAGTAGTCACTTATTTCCCAAAACTGGTTTGTCGGCGAACAATAAAAGGAAGTGAAATTTATGGAGAAATTATACAGTGGATTTGTCACTTAAAATATCGTAACTGTCTCGAGGACAATACCCCATGCTGAGGATTAATGGTCCCGCCGGACCTTTGATTCACTAGCGCCTTTTCTTCGCCCTTGACAAATTGGATTTTTAGGAATGAGAAGGTCGCCTGGACCATTGTGCGCCAGCCATTCAGAGGCCTCGATTATGCAGGGGGCTGAGGGAACCACTCCATGTGACCCTCTCGGGTGGGACTCTGCAGCTGCTTCGCAGCGCAACTCTCTCACCAAACTCCGCGCCCTTGCGCTCGAGGTGCCAAAAGGCGCCCGCCCGGATTGAAAAGGCGCAGTGCATGCCCGGACGCGTCACTCCGCGGGCGGAAGACGCACGTCGGGGCGCGGCTCCCTGGCTCGCGCGCGGCTCGGGCTCTGTCACTCGCGCCCTGCACAGGACCTGCGCGCCCAAGCGCCTGCCTGGCGGCGGCGGCAGCAATGCACGGAACCACCCGCGCTCCGGCCACCAGCGTGAGTGCCGATTGCTGCATCCCGGCCGGCCTGCGCCTCGGGCCCGTGCCCGGAACCTTCAAGCTGGGCAAGTACCTGTCAGACCGCAGGGAACCCGGGCCCAAGAAAAAGGTATTAGCCATTCCGACCTCCGCCCCCTGCCGTTCGCCTCCCTCTGCCCCGGCCCAGGAAAGAGGTCGATAGGGCAAGTGGAGGAAAGCGGTGATTGAATCGGAACCTGCCAGTTCTGCCAGGTGGTTGGGGACTTCAATGACTCCCCGCCAGTCACGTTAACTGAGAGCTGGATGTGGGCCGGGCTGTGGGACAGGACGTGGCGGAGGGGACAGCCTCCCGGTGGGGTGCACGGGCTCTTTACGCGCCGGACCACTCAGACGCCGCAGTTTCCCGGAACTCGGGGGTCTCCTTCGCAGAGGCGGCCCTTCCCTCGCCTCTCTCGGCAGACGCGCCTTCTCTCTGTTATACAACGCGCAGGTTGTTGAGGTCTTTTTTACCTTCTTCCCTTCAGTATGCTAATCTAGGTTTACATTTACCTTAAAATAATTTAATCTCATTTCCTCTGAAAAACTAATCCTAGGGGAACCTCCCCCTCGGCCCCCCCCCCGGTTTTCCTTTCCGCAGGTCCCCCCCCCCCCCCCCGGTTTTCCTTTCCCCCGGGCCCCCCCCCCCCGGTTTTCCTTTCCGCGGGTGTCTGCTTGCGGGGTGGGGGTAAATGGATTGAGGCTGAACCAGGTTCGGGCTCCGACGCGGGCTCCGAGGGCGAGGAGCGCCCACCCGCGCGGGCACCGGGTCCAGGGGCCTGCAGCCGGGCTCAGGGAGTCCAGGGTCGCAACTGGGAGGCGTCAGGGCCAACCCGCCAGCTCTGACTCCCCAAACAGCGTCGCGACCCGGGCCAGAGAGGGGTTTTAAAGGCTCCCGCCCGGAGGCGTCGCAGCGCGCAAAGGTCGCAAACAGCGACCGGGAAATGCAGGCGAGAATCCGGTGGAGGGCCGAGTCCCGGAGTGACGCGGCCGGGCATGCACTGCGCCTTTTTAATCCAGGCGGGCGCCTTTTGGCACCGCGAGCGCAAGGGCGCGGAGTTTGGTGAGGAGAGGACTTGAGCTTTGGCTTGCCGCTGCCTGGAGCTTTCTCGTAAGCAACGTCTCCGGTGCCCAGCCAGCGGGACCCGCATCTGGCTCCTCACGCAATCATCTTTCCCCGGGGTCTAAAGCCGGGTTTACCCGCACCACGCCTTCCTCTTTAAACGCGCTTTAATTGCTTTTAAATAGCCGGCCAGCTTGCTACGGCTTTGTTCAGACACTTTCGCTGCCGGGCTCCTTGGCACCTCCGCGCCTCGGTGCGGTGCAGCGAGAATGGAGAGGCACGAGAGGGGATGCGGGCACTGGGTTCTCGGACTGACTTCGAGACGTCTCTACCCGGGTGTTAGGGCTGCTTTCAGAACCGCAAGAGGCAGAGCTGGGGTGGGCGTCGGGAACGTCTTGGTACAAGATGCTCCCGGCCGCTCAGGGAGGATGTTCTCACCCCCACGTGTTGCCAAGGTGGAGAAGAGCGGGGACTGTTATACTAGCCAGCCTCTCCTCTTCCTCCCTCCCCCAAGCAAGGGTCCTAAGGAATTACTCTCCTCCCAGTAGCCCACAGCCGGCTGGCCAAAGCGAATACAACCACTTTCCTGAGTCGGGTGGGGTGGAGGATAAACTTTCCCTCTGGGCTGTGGGTCTGGCCGTGGCGCGGGGGAGAACGACCACTGCTTGTGTTGCAGGTGCGCATGGTGAGAGGGGAGCTGGTGGACGAGTCGGGGGGCTCCCCTCTGGAGTGGATAGGGTTAATCCGGGCAGCCAGGAACCCCCAGGAACAGACTCTCGAAGCTATTGCAGACTTACCCGGAGGACAGGTACTGTGGGCTCCCCCCACTGCCAAATCTATCTACCTAACTGTCACTGAGGTGGCCGGCAATAATAAGAGCAAAGCGCTTTAGCTAGAGGTCTCATTTAAAGGTCCCAACAACCCTATAAGGCAGATACTATTACTTTCCCCGTTTGAAGAATGAGGGAAATGAGGTTCAGAGAGGTCCAATAGCTTTTCCACGGTGACACAGCATCAGAGCGGGGATTCGAACCTTTCCTCTCAGTTGTTTTTTGACCAATTACCCAGGAAATGACAGCAAGCTGTCCTGTTCCTTGCGTCCCAGATCTTCTACCGAGCGCTGCGAGACGTCCAGCCAGGGGAGGAGCTGACCGTGTGGTATTCCAACTCCTTGGCTCAGTGGTTCGACATCCCCACGATTGCAACTCCGACGCACGACGAGAAAGGTATTGCCTGCGACAGGGTCTTGGGGCCAGCGCGGGTGGGCGACAGTCCAGCCCTCCTCCGGTCTTTGGGCGTGTCCCCAGACCTGAAGGGCCTTTCTCTTGTGCTTTGTAAAACTGAATTCAAGCTCCCTCTCTGTGCAGGCAGAAAGGCGACGTAACTACTACCTCCTTAAAATCAACAGTAAATGATAACGACAGCGACAATAATAATCCGGCTCGCGATGGCAGGGGAAAAACTACTCTTTATGAACTTCATGGGGGTCATCCTTTCCTACTGTATACCCAAAGAGACAATTATTTACTCAATTAAGAATCAACAAAGAAGTCTTAACATATTAGAGTAATCACATCATGAGCTCCAGAAAGCATACCTCAAACCTGGAATGCTTGTAGAAGGTGGAGGGACATCTCTTTTCCACTGATTGGAAGGAGAGTAGTGTATTTCTACAGCATTTTAGAAGCATTACGGTACTTAAAGTTGGTCAGTTGGCAGGTACTGAGGCCCTTCCATTTAAATAGTATTTATTCACTTGCCCCTCCCTACTTAAATTGAATCTGGGATGTATCCCAGTTTCTTCTCAGATTTATTTGATCCCTTCCAAAGCCAAGAGCGGATTTATGCAAATTAAGGTGCAGCAACTAAAAAGAAAAACATTTTCAAACCTTCCCTAGAACACCGAGGAACACTTCCTGTGGAAAAAAGCTGGGAGGTGCTAAGACAGTTACATCTTGAGGCTCCCTTTTCATGCACAAAGCTTCTTTGACTTCCTTTTTTCTTGCTAATTATTTTAGTTTGTCTGTAATTTCTCCTCAAGACAGTTATACTTCAAGTCAACATAATGAATGCTGTGAAATATTTTAACATGCTCTCCTCCTGTATTGTCTGCTCAATCTTGTCCCTTTAGAAATAGGGTTAAAGAAATTAATACCAATGTGGGAATAAAGAAACACTTCATGAATAAGGCAGAATGAGGTTTATTCAGAATGACGAATCACTTCACTTCAAAGTACTGCTGTCTTCTGTAAATTAATTCTATCGATTTTGTGGGTAAATTTGTATGTGCAGTATTCACAACAAATTATCCTACTTTGTTCCTTGCATCACACTATATTAAATTCTCTTGTCAACTTCTTCCCGTAAAAGAGAAACGTGACAAAAACCCCATCGTGGAGAACTCTCAAATCTGCCACTACAGAACAATCCTGAGGACTTCTGGCCTTTAGGGGCCAGGCATTTCCGCACAGAACACACTCTTCCTTTGCTACTCTCAAGTAGTACAAAAGCAACTTGTTTGAGTGGTGGCCCTTGTGTTTTCATTTCAGCCAATCGAGCTCATAAACATCATATGGTAACAGATGTCAAAATAGACACCCTTTTCCTTTTGGAGAATGTATGGGTTATTTCGAACCTCGACTGCCCCAGCTTTGAGATGCCTGAAATCTTAACAACCTTAGGGTTACATAAAGGAGAGGAGGCAAAGTCACTTATGAAGTGTGTTTGATACTTTTGGCATAGGTTGAATTTCAGAGTCCGGAGAACATGTCAGTTAGTTAGGATGAAGTGAAAAAGGAACATATTGAAACACAAAACATACATTTGCTTAAATCTTGAAAAGAGGAAGAAATAAGTAGGGACGGCTGCTATTCTTCCAATAGTGACTAACTCCAGTGGGTTTCAATTCCATAGTAAGATGAAGAATATATTGACCCTTTGTCAATAGGAACAAAGCTTACTTGGCTTTGCATTGAGCTGAGTCATTCTGGGTCAGCCTCTGAAAACTCTCTTTAAAAAGGGGTGATAAGAGGGAGGTTCTGAACTGAGGAGAAGGGAAGTTATTTAAGATATTAAATCAACATACCTACCAAGAGAACCTAGGAGGTCTCTTCTCTCTTTTTTCAAGATTTATTTTACATGGCTGTTCAATACAAGGTAACAGAAGTATTGAAATGATTTTATCTGTCTTCCTAAACAATTAGGATTGGGTCTCATAGGCAAATCCTCTTCCCCTCTTTTTTCCTTCTGCTCTCCCTTGGCTTCAGCTGGAATAAACTGCTCCTTACTTGAACTTCCATCTTAGTTATCTGCGGGAAGTACATGTTTTATGCAAAGCCAGAAGTAAAATACATGAAGGGAGGAAGATCTGGGATTTTTTCCCCATTGTTTCTGCAGTCATGTCTTAGAATGTTGAGCTGCTTGTGTGCAAGGAGGGAAAATTTAACTTTTCCATTAAATTTAATGAGACCGACATATACTTTGGATACTTCCTTGTGGCTCACCTTCTTTCTCAGACATCCTTTCCTTCAGTATTGTCAACCATGACACTTAAAAAGAAACCCAATTGCAAGATCACTGTTCTCTGTACAGATGTAACTTGACCGTTTTGAGTGAAAGTTAACTTCCACCACGTGATCAGAATCTGTTTCATACATGTGTCTCTTGATCATGTTCACAGACCCTAGCACAATTAAAAACAACTAAGGTTAATAATATTAACCTTACAAAAGAGTTTACACCAAAAACACACATATATGGTTCCTGGTAGAGAAATGTGCACTTATTAAAAGCTGAGTATCTGTATCTATATCACTTATATATATATTCATGTAATAAAAAAACTATATATCTTTTCCGAGGACTTTACTAAGCTTGGATTTGTGCAGCTATCTAGGAGTTAATTAATTACCAGGTGGAACAACTGACAAGCTAATGCAACATCATCCTTCAGTTTTTAGAATACCAGGACATAAGACTTTTTCTTTCCTCCCATCAAATTAAATGGGATTAAAGAGGGAATAAGGATACAAATAATTTTGAAGAATAGCAAATCATAGTCCCTATGTGGTCCTTCAGTTGGTCACGCTCCAAGACAACCTCAGGCAAAGTGTTTAAGGCTGGGAGGGGTGGGAAGGGTGGGTAGTGGACATAAAAGACATTGTTCTATGAAAAGGAATGATTACATATGGCCCATACATACAGGATATTGTCTCGCCTGGTAATGAGGCGCTCACGACCATTAGATTGGCCTTTGTTCAGTTTATCCAAACTCCTTGACATACGCCACCTATTCTGCAAACGCCAACAGATGGGCCCGGGCACAGCATAGCCTCAACACTTGATTTAAAGCAACAGCTGCTCTCTACTCTCGTCTCTTCCCCAGCCAGCCTGCCTGAGCGCTGCCTTCCCAACGAAGAATTGCTCGGATGGCCCCGAGGAAGTCTTCGTTGGAAAGGCCCAGGTCACCCCTCTTGGCCTCTGAGTAGTTCCAGAGGATGGAGATGGGGACAAAGTCGGCCATTTGGGGCTTCTCGGGGCTCTTACTACAGTGGGGCTACCGAACTCACTTATTCGCCGGGACCTTAGAATACTCCTACTTCGCCCCATATCTAGCTGGTCAAAACCTGAGCTTTGCCTTGGGTGCGCTTTCTTTCTCTCTCGCTCGTTCGCCTCTCACGGGGTCGCTTTTCCACTCTTTCTTGCCCAGGAGAGGAGCGCTACATCTGCTGGTACTGCTGGAGGACGTTTAGATACCCCAACAGCCTTAAGGCCCACCTACGTTTCCACTGCGTGCTCAGCAGCGGCGGGGGCCGGGCCTACCTGCACCACGAGCACGCGGCTCGCCCAGGCCCTGCCCCGGCCGCGGATGGCCTTCGCCTCTCTCCGAAACCGCCGGCGCCTGACTTCTCCGTGGCCGCCTCGGCGGGCACTCTGCGGCCCCACCCGCAGGCCCAGCAGCCCCTCCAGGCCTGCGGAGCGCGAGAGAGCATCAAGCGCGAGGCTTCCTCCGCGCCCTTGGCCACCTCGCCGCCCCCGGCCAAGTGGGGGCCGTCCAAGAAGGGCAAGGAGCAGCCGGACCGCGCCCTGGACATGAGCGGGGCCGCCCGGGGACCCGGCCACTTCCTCGGCATCGTGGGCGGCTCCCCAGCGGGGGGCGGCGGCCTGGCCTTCTACCCCGGCGTGCGCTCGGCTTTCAAGCCCGCCGGCTTGGCTAGGGCGGCCGCGGCCGCCCACGGCGACCCCTACCGGGAGGAGGGCAGCGGCAAACCCGGGGCCGGCCTGGCCTTAGGCAGGCTGCTGGGCGGGGGCCGGGCGGGCGGACGCCCTGGAAGTGGAGAGAACCCGGCGGCGGGCGGCGCGGGCCACCACCATCACCACCACGCGCACCACCATCATCCCAAGTGCCTGCTCGCGGGGGACCCGCCGCCGCCGCCGCCTGGCCTGCCCTGCTCCGGGGCGCTGCGCGGCTTTCCTTTGCTCCCTGGCCCCCCGGAAGAGGCGTCCGCCTTCAAGCATGTGGAGCGCTCCCCGCCCGCTGCCGCCGCGCTGCCGGGAGCGCGTTACGCGCATCTGTCCCCGGCGGCCGGGCTGCCCCTCGAGCGCTGCGCGCTGCCCGCCCTCGACGCGGGCGGGCTCAAAGCCTACCCGGGTGGGGAGTGCAGCCACCTGCCTGCCGTCATGCCGGCCTTTACCGTCTACAACGGGGAGCTTCTCTACGGCTCACCGGCCGCCGCCGCTTATTACCCGCTCAAATTGCACTTCGGCGGGCTGCTCAAGTATCCGGAGTCCATTTCCTACTTCAGCGGGCCCGCGGCGGCGGCGGCGGCCGCAGCTCTAAGTCCCGCCGAGCTGGGCTCCCTGGCTGGCATCGACCGAGAGATCGCCATGCACACGCAGCAGCTGTCCGAGATGGCAGCCGGGAAAGGGCGCGGCCGCCTGGACGCGGGGACGCTGCCACCGGCCGTCGTGGCGGCGGGTGGTTCTGGGGGTGGCGGCAGTGGGAGCGGCGGCGCGGGCAAGCCCAAGACGGGCCACCTGTGCCTCTACTGCGGCAAGCTGTACTCGCGCAAGTACGGGCTCAAGATCCACATGCGGACGCACACGGGCTACAAGCCGCTCAAGTGCAAAGTGTGCCTGCGGCCCTTCGGCGACCCCAGCAATCTCAACAAGCACATCCGGCTGCACGCCGAGGGCAACACGCCCTACCGCTGCGAGTTCTGCGGCAAGGTGCTGGTGCGCCGCCGGGACCTGGAGCGCCACGTCAAGTCCCGCCACCCCGGCCAGAACCTGCTCGCCAAGGCGGGCGACGGCCCGGGCGCGGAGCCTGACTACCCCCCGGAGCCTGGAGAGCCCAAGAGCGACAACGACAGCGACGTGGACGTGTGCTTCACAGACGACCAGAGCGACCCTGAGGCCGGGGGCGGCGGCGGGCGCGACTCGTAACGAGTCCTCCCGGGAAGGGGTGTATGCGGGGGGCGTGGACAGAGAGAAGAAGTGGGGGTTCTGTTCTGGGAGAAGAGGATCACCCGGTGGTGAGAGGAAGGACCTGGTTAACGAAACCGTTTTTATTGGTCGGGCACCAGATTTGGAACAGTGAGAGGACCCAGGTCCGATGCTGAAACTCAGAGCAAAGGTTTAGAGATATCTTAAAGAAATCTGGCCTCCTGAGCAGCCCGAGGGCGGCGGGTCCTGGCGCGCTCCAGGTCTCTGGACTCCGCGGACAGGCTCCCCCCAACCGCCCAGGCGGTCTGCTCTCGAGGTTTAGGATCACAGTAATGTGAAGTCACAGAGCCCTCGAGGGCGCCGATTTTAACTGCCACGTATTTTAAAATTGTTCTTTTCTGTGGAGGAAATTGTGCCTTTTGAAACGATGTTTTGTGTGTGTATTTTACATTAGCATTTCACTGCATAGGCAAAACAGTAGTCGCAATTCGCTAGATGTGACATCCATACACTTGTTTCCATTTCATCTGTTCTGGTGTCAAAGACTACGACGCCTTGCCTCATTGACTATATAGTGGTAGCAGGTGTGCAAATTGGTCAAGTTGCAATTATTTATAAGAGAATAATGACAAATGTAAAATATCTAAAGCATGAATCTAAGAGCACGCAATATATAATTTTAAAGAAAATGTCCTATTTGGTAGAATACAAATGTGATGTATGTCGTTTTATAATGAATGATGTACAGTGGATTCAGTATTTTGGTCTTGGTTCCAGTCTGTGCAATCTTTAATAAAAATAAAGATACAAACGAGAGTTTGTTCACTTCGCGATTTCAGCAGATCCTTTAAAGAAGTAGTTTAATTTGAAAGCGATTTTCAAGGAGACTCCATAATAAAATAAACCATAGGACACTTGAATACTTTGATTATTCATAAAATAAATGTTAAGCAATGTTGTAATAGGGAAATATACCACTTTCAATATGTGCATTTCACAGGCTCCCGGATAGCAGGCAAAACAATTGTTTTCTGAAACCATTGTTAATTATGATAAATGTTTTCTTGTTTATGGAAAGAAGCTAATGACCTTCAGGAAAAAACACACACATGTTCCTCAATCAAAAAGAATCACAGGACTGTAGAATCATTATTTCTTTTTATATACCATTTCGACAGAACTTGCCTTGGGAAGCAAAAAAAGGAAACTTGCTCAATGCCTTTTATGATTCATACACTTTAATATTCCTTCAACAAATACTAAAAGAGAATCTATTTTATTGGAGGTGCTGATCTATTTGCTCTATGTAGGTTTCTTTTTCTCCGCCTACTCCTTCCAACATTCTGGTACTGTGATATGGGTCTCATTTTACAGAAGAGAAAAAGTACTCTTCAAGGTCACTGAGAAACCCATAATTAGAATGGCAAAGTTAGAAGCGGTGACTTTATTTATGGGTCTGAAAAATTAATGCTAGCTAATGGAAGGACATAAATATAATTTTGTGGGCTAAAACTGGAAAGCATCCTTTCACCTACCTCTTCTTCCTTCCTTCCTTCTTTGCCCCCTGCCCTGACCCCCCTCCCCCCAGTCTCCAGGGAGAATTTCACTGAAGTTATGTAGAAGTGGAAGATTAGTCATCCCCTTAGCTAAGGGCAGGTAACCTGAGAGCCCAGGTCTGCAGTGTTCCTCTCAGAGGTTGGTGGGGAGGTTCTAGTAGGTCACCAAAGGGTCTGGATATGACCCTGATAAATTATCTCTGTTAAAAATGTCCTTTATTTTCTGAATCCTGAGTACTGCAGCAGTCTCCACCCTGCTGTCTCCCAGTTGGGAACACCGCCTCAGTCACCAGGTGGCTGGCAAAGACTTTTTCTGACCCATCACAGCAGGAGACATGGGTGGTGGGGGAGGGCATCTGACTTCTATGTGTCGGAAAAGTTTCTTCTATGAGAAAACTTACGCTGAGAATTATAGGTTTTTTAGTGTCAGCTGACCGGAAAATATTTTGCTTCATAAAAGGAAGCCCAATGAGAAACAAAAAATATGTGTGGGTTAACATGTACATATGGTTGACGATGATACTACCATTTGCCTCCTCTGTGCTAGATCCTTATGCTATTTGCAATTCTTTCTTCTCTGAAGAGGATGACAGTGGGCTTGCCTCACCAGGTTCAGTGATGGCCCTGCCACACAGAACTGGAAGGGAACCCAAGCATCTGCCTGTTCAGCCTGGGATCCAGGGGCCCAGGGCTTCTCACCGCCTGCTTAGTAGCTGGTCTTGCCCTTTGAAGCAATTATTGCTTGAAGCCAAATCCATCCTTATAGAGAAATATTGGAAAACTTTTCTGAAATCAGATCATGTAAGTCCTCAGGGAAAGTGAGAAAGGCTGCCCAGATTTGAAACATAGGAAAAGTTTTATCAGTCATACAAGTCATGTTTCCTTCTGCCATTTCCTAGCTCAGTACTAAGTCCTATAACTCTTGTTGTCTTGTATGAAAATAACCTATAAAGAAATAAATTAAAAATAGTTTGGTGAAAGGAAATACACTTAGAATTGATAAAGATTTAATGAAACAAACAAACAAAAACCCTAGCCTTCTGTTTCTCCCTTAGTAAATTGATATCTACTATGCTATTAGAATAAATTTCAATATAAAAAATGAAAATTGAACATAGGTTTAAAAGGATCTTAATCACAGGTCATTTGTAATTCTCATTTATAATTGTCTCAGATAACCTGTATATTGGTCCATGGATGTGCACACTATCATACATAATTAATGCAGTTATTTATTTCAATGGCGAAGTCAAATCACTGATATACAATCAGTAACAATAATATTACTTATTTTAAATGGCTCAGTTGAATTAGTGTTTCTCAGATTACTTCTTTGAGTCTTGCATCTCTTTTTCTCCACTCCCGTCCCCCCACGCTCAATCCTTCTCATCCTGGTGACCTCGGCAAACTTTGAGGGTTATGCTAATGCCATTGGAAGTTTCCGAAATTTTAACTGAATATTTTGTACCAAAAGATTAAAAAAAAAAGAAAAGATAGGAGGATTCACGAATTTAGAAGTGAAAGACTCTAGATTGTTTGGGTCTAGTTAATTTGGACATTAAAACATTTTGCTGATCTAAATAAATCAGGCAGACGTGGGTTCTAAGCTTGCTTCTACTGCTTACTAGTGTGGCATCTTGGGCCAGTCTCTCTATTGCCTCAATTTCTGCATCTGTAAAACAGGTCGAAATAAGCAATAGGGTAGTCGTGAAGATTGAATGAATTGATGCAGGTAAACTGCTTAGAATCAAGCCTGACATAGCAATCTCCCAACAATATTAAAATAACTCCAGCAACTCTTTGGGGTTTCATTTCCAAGACATCAAAGAACGAGATAAGGGTTGATGCCGTTTTCTAAGCATTAACATCTTTTTGCAGGGCACTCGCTCTCTTCTTGGTTCACTTCCAGCCCTAGACAAACTCGCACCAACTTCAGTAAAGAAAGGCCTTTCACACTTTTGCTAAGGAGAAACTTCCTCAGACCCTTTATTAAGCTATCTTTCCATTTAAGCTCAGACACTGGTTCACATGGTTCATAGCGGTTAAGTGAGCGGCGAGAAGAATGTTGTTCGTCTGTTTTCACTAATTTTTGAAATTCCCTGCTGTACGGTGAGTGATGAGTTTGAGCAGAAGAATGCAGCGGAGTTGAATGCGTACATCTCCCCTCCTGAGCCAAGCAGACAGCGGAGCATACAGCAAGAGCTGCAATTCCGCAAGGCTCCATCCGCGGAGTGTTTACCTACTGTCTAGACTCTGAAGGAAGGAGGTGAGCGGCGGCGGGCTCCAGGTTATAACGCCGGTTCAGCCGGGCTGGAGGAGCGGTGGGGGTACTGATGGTGGGGCTCCAGAGTTGAGAGGGCGGTGATTGGCTGCGCCTCTTCAGTCCGAGCGCTCCCATTGGCTCATGCCTGGAGCCAGGGTTACTATTGGTGGCGGGCTGGCTGCGCGCGAAGGTCCGGGTAGGCGCGGCCTCCGGGCCCCCCGGCCGCAGTGGCGGTGTCCCCGCTTGGGTGAGTGTTGGGGCGTCAGCCTGTGTGTGTGTGTGGCGCTCTTGAGGCTCACAGCTTCGCTCTCCCCGGGGACAGGAGTTTGCGGGTTCTGGGTTCGGAGCAGAGGTGTGGGAGTCTCGCCGCGTTTAGGTGCGCAGTCCGCGAGCCCTGGATGGGCGGGAGACGCAGGAAGGCCCCCCGCGGCTCCCAGCGGGCGGCTGAGGGAGTTCCAGGCGCCGAACTAGTCCTTGTTTAAGTGCCCCTGCCCTGCTGTGGCGGGCGCTGCGGCACCAGCGCCGCGCGCCCTCGCCATCTGCTGCTTCCCTAAAGGGAAGAGGGCAGAGGCGCTGGCGCCATCCGGAGGTCAGACGTGACCCTTGGCCACCCAGGTGTGAGTTGTGAAGGGGAGGACTCAACAGACGGCGGGGCCAACGTGTTTAGTTCCAGAAGGAGCGTGGCGCTCGCTCTGGGCTGGGTGACCTTCCTACAAAAGATGAAAGGAGCGCTTCTGTCATCTGCGACTGTAGTTTAATTCAAATTAGGTGTAACCCATGTACGGCAGACAACTTGTTAATGCCTTTGGCTGGCAAACCGTACGAGGAGCCTTCAAAAAGGGACCGAGATGGGGTGGGCTGTATGTGTGTGTGTAAACCTTTTGAAGACACTGATTTTATTTCAAGTACAATATGTTATAGTTATTTAAATTTTAGCATTTCATGTAAGTAGATAAAAACTAAAGTATGAGTTCATTAAAAAATATAAAAGCAATAGCATAAAAGACAGATTTTTGGTAATTAAAATCAAACAGATTAAGAGGAACGTTTTCACGTAGAGTGAGGAATCTTTATTAAAAATAAAATATATTAAATATCCAGATTTCATGAGTATTCTCTATTTTTTTGTATCCACATACATTTTTGTGTAATTCAGTATTGTAGGAAATGATTGCAAATACACATTTCCTATTTTTAATGTTGTAAGCACAGTGATGTTCCTGGAAGTTACTTTAAATAGAGAATGATTTAAAATCCAACGTTTCGTGGCAAGTTGTATTTGAATGGAAGACACTCAATTCCAGTGATTTGAGTAGAAGCATTAGGTGGAAATGTCTTATGTGACAGGAGATATAGTGAAGAGAGATGCAGATGGCTTTACATAAGAACATAGTGAAGGTCAAAGATAGTTTTTAATCTTTTTTTTTTTTTGAATCTCTGACAACCGGCAAAAAGATAAGATTCTATACTTGACAATGAGCAGTTGATTCCTGAATAATCACCTTAAGGTAAGTGGAGACATGACCAGGTCAGGTTTAAACTAACTTGAGTGCATTGGACCATAGAAGAACACATCTGTGAGCAACAAAATGCTTTCAGGTATGCTAAAAGTCAACCCAATGAGAAATGAGTCAATGCAGGATGTCGCATTTTATAAGCTTATTTGTAATTTTTAGAAAGCTGGAGAAAGAAATGCCTTTGCAACCAAGAAGACAGAAAAGAAAATACGTTAGGGGATTTAAAGGATAGATTTTCTGAATTATTTAAAGCTAGTATGCTGAAATGTGGTTTCAGGGTACTGGGTTTGCCATCTATAGCTGTCTGTACGTATATCATGCCCGAGATTTGTTTCCAAAATCAATATGTGTATTCTTGCCTTGAATTGGTACTTTGGGACTTCGTGATATTCATATTGGCCAATATTCTCATCATTAAGTGAGCAAAAAAAATAGCTTTGCCTTGAGGGTTTTTTTTTTGACAGAACTCATTTTATTAAATCTTCATTATCT